GGATAATTTTATTGTATAATCTCATACGGTAACACAGTTTTGGAAACGTTCAATTCAACAAAAAGTTGGTTTGACTGCTTGTGTGTCGCAAACGTGATTGTCTAAAACATTACAAAAATGCTATATTTATAAACCAAAAGTGGATTTTATTTGTGGCTTATAATGATTTTTATTTTGATGTAAGTGAAATCGGTTGAAAGTTCTAACATGCATAGGATACATATAATAATAAATTTGCATTTTATGTATTTTTGGTACATTTGTGTAACGTTTTTAAAGTTGTGTATCTCTATTATCATATGCTTTACTTAAGGATAACCTTCTAAGTAATGTAAGTGTGCATACACGATTCATATAATGCTAAAGCTATACAGAAGAGAAAACAAAAAACAATAAGAGTAAAATCGTGTTTAAGCGAATCCCCAATGTGATAAACTCATTTTGTCGGTTAAAAATAAGCATGCGTTTTAACAAAGCCTAAAGGACATAAAATGCAACCATTAAATTGTCCGCCACTTGTAAGCATTTTACCGTCATTGTCAGGAAGCTGTTAATAATTTACCACATCAGTCAGGAGTCCATTAACATTTTAACAACTCTTTATCATTGTTAGTTTATTGTATCAGTCCTGAGCCCATTGTCACTGGTCGATCAGAAACATTTTATCAGCTGTGGTAAATGATAAGTATAACCTTTTATATGGTGTTAAACAGCCTAACAGAGCTTGTGTACCCTTAAACTTCAATCAATCAAGTTATATATATATATATATATATATATATATATATATATATATATATATATATATATATATATATATATATATATATATATATATATATATATATATATATATATATATATATATATAGTTACTGTACGCTATAGGGCATTTCACGGTTGCAACGGAGTTACTAATCGTAGTGCTTAAAATTACCTCCCTTATTTCTAATGTACATGCCCACCAAAAATTCCACTTCCGGATAGTTCAGAATCTTAGCCGTACAACAAATCATTATGGTTAAACCAATGAATAAATTATACCTGTCTAACATTTTGTTCATACTAGAACATAATGATAGACATTACATCAGATAATTAGATTCGGTGTCCATACTTTTCTTTGTATCAGATAATTAATTAATATTTACTGCCCATACTAAAATGATATTAAATAATTGTTTTAAATATACTGTCCATATTTATATTATACCAGATAATATATATTCATAATCCATAATTTCAGATAAATTTGTAGGAACATTTCATTTTTTTGCTTTCCGATTTTAAGAGTTTGTTGCACATTTTTGGCTGCATAATTTCAACGAAAATCATCTCCGTAATTTGCATTTTTCATATGTTGATATATCTTTCTTTCTCAGTTATTTTCTCAAGGCTAATTGTTCGTTTATAACACTAGTTATGAGAGCTATAACACGAGGTTGATAGGAAAATTATAATACATGTTCGTTACTTCAGCTGGTCTGTAATGCAATGAATATTTTAGACCAGAAATGTTTTTTGTTTGTTTGTTTTTGTTTTTTTTTGTAATGGAACACATTATATTAATGTATTCAGAGGAATCTAAGAAAGACATAATTACAAAAAGTATTATAAAGATAAAGGAGTGTAACTAATGCAGATGGAATATTTATTTATATTTGGGTGCAAATATTGTACAATATTTAGATTAATTAAAATACCCAGTGACTTTTTTTTTCATTTTCTTTTTTTTAGTGGTGGTGGTGGTGGGAAGGGTTCTCACATCTTTAAACAATCAAAAAAGAATATCCTCATACACGTAGTCTAATATAGCCATGCATTCATTCAACCTAATATTTAATTTTTTTCATTTCTCAAATGTTTTTCTCAAAACTTGATACACCATGCAGTGGACAGTGCATGCAATCACTTTCATCCTGATTTTTCTTTGCTGACACGTAGTAATAACTCTCAAATTTGTTGGAGTCTTTAAACAACATTTCCGATTGCCACCAACAAATTCATCTGAAACAGCTTTCTTAAAGTTAGTTTAATTCCATTTAACTTTCCATGCATCAAATATGTAAATTTAGACGATCAAATTATTTCACAGATTCCATCTTATTGCTTTGGTTCGCATTTTAAATCAATATTGATCCACGTGACAGGATGTAAAATTGCAGACAGGGTGATTTTAAAAAAGAGATTGTTTGTAAGAAAATGCTCTTCAAGTCAATAATAAATGGATAGTCACAAATATTCATATATGTTGTCTCTATCTATCAGTCACTTAGCATCACTGTATGCTCGTTTTTAACCAGAAGTATGTTTATGTAATATTCGTATGCGAACGGGGTCCCGAGTGGCAAAGTGGTCTAAAGCGCTCTCCGTTACGGATCACTGCCATATTACCTCTGCGTGATTTCGAGTCTAAGATTCGACGAAATGTGGATATGTGAGAAAGCTTGCCAGTAGCTTTTCGTTGGTCTGTGGTTCTTTCTGCGGATTCCCAGTTTCTTCCTCCACCATTATTACTGGCCGCCATGTATAGCCTATCTTGTGCTGAAAATGGCGTTTAGCCCCAGGACAACAACAACGTATGCGAACACATTCATTCAAGCATATACATACGTATACATGCCAATGCACCATATGAAATGAGACAGACAGACAGACATATAGACAGACAGACAATTAGGTGAGAGCTACAAATGTCATTTACATACATAATGTATATAATAACAATATTTCTTAAAATTGTGTTCTCTAAAAACTGCAACCGTTCAAGGAAATAAAATTAAAATAATCATCAAACAGATTCGTACGTGCGTTTGTCGGTTCAACCGTGGATGATTTTTGTGCAATTTGAAGGAAAAGGAATACTGCATAGTATGATTGTTTTATTCCTTCTTTCAATTTAATCATTTCTATTAAAACTTTTCATATACGGTAGAGAAAAGTCAGGTGTTAACTGGACGAGTTTCAATGGCATAAACAGAGATGTGATTTTGTTTGTAGAAAAAATTACACAGTATTCTCGGTGATCATTCATGAGATTTAAGCTAATTTGTAACAATTTTATTGTTTTAAATTAATTTTGTACTATATTACTGTTGGAAATTTACGGAATCTTGGTATTTCCGCACAATATAATCACTACCCGTCTAAGATATGATATTTAAAAACATTTCAGTGGAATTAAAATTTGTAGAGAATTACACACATAAAAAGAAAAAAAAATATGGTCTCCTTTAAAAAGTTTTATTTTTTTCTCGTTGTCGTTTAACCGCCATTAACTGCAATGATTAAAGCTGTAATTTAATTTTTTTAATTATTCTTCAAGTGAGAAAAATTGCAGTAATTATCATTTTAAGAAGCGGTACACTTTCGCATAATCAAATAATACAAACTAGACCATGATGTAGTAATAGAAAGATAATGAAGTTTTGAACTGGGCAGAGAACATTTATGTGAAAGATGGCAACAGCGCAAATTACTGAAAAAATAAAGGATGAAAAAAAAACAATTGATCAAATATTGATAAAATTTCTTTTTAAGATAGTGATATATCGATTTTGCTTGCAGAATATGAGCGTTCTGTCATATTTTCTTGATCTACATCTGCCGTTTTTGTTGATTGAACTATCCGGAAGTGAGTTGTACCGAGACACTTATGGTGTTTTCAAAGGGAGATAATAACCGTGAAATGGTCTATATCAATGATGTACCAGGAGATGTCATAGATATGCCAAGAGAGATGTATGAAAGGGAAATGAGGTTTGAGGAGTTTTCGTGAAAAATGTATACAACGTTTGGTATCTCATTGATGCAACGCACGTATTATACATATATTATATCACATACAAATATTTGCCCTTTGAACGAAGTTAAGAATGACGACAGGCAGCTGTGTTTTTTTCCGAATGAATAAAGTCCTCACATTCCTACCGAATATGTCCGCTTTAAAAATGTAGTTCTGTGCTTTTTGTAGCATTTTACAAATGATATTGCATATACATACGTTGATTGTTTTATTTTTAGTTTCTATTTTTATTCACATTGATTAAATCATTTTAAGACATATTTATAATTTAACTATGAAAGATGGATTTAATGAAAAAAGTTGAGCGCTACAAAGATTTGGTTAGCTTCTGAAAAACTCAGCCACTGACGTACCATCGCAGAGAAAATTAGCGTGGAATAATTACTAGTGAAATGACGAACCAACAAAACATAATAAAAATATACTAAATATATTTTCAGTTGATCTAAGTCATTATTCTGCTTTACTTTACATTACTACCGACCGTAAAATATCTCTCTCTCTCTCTCTCTCTCTCTCTCTCTCTCTCTCTCTCTCTCTCTCTCTCTCTCTCTCTCTCTCTCTCTCTCTCTCTCTCTCTCTCTCTCTCTCTCTCTCTAGTCTGACTTAACTTTTACAATCATTTATATGTCAAGAGACATCTTTGTATGACAAAAAATAAAACCTTCCATCCTTCAGTAAATTTTCGACGGTATCCTGCTACGATGGTCCAGAGAGAGAGAGAGAGAGAGAGAGAGAGAGAGAGAGAGAGAGAGAGAGAGAGAGAGAGAGAGAGAGAGAGAGAGAGAGAGAGAGAGAGAGAGAGAGATGTATGTAAAAAAAACTTACCGTCACTAACATATACGCTAGAGTCGAAGTTGTCGTGCAAACAGGAAATATAATCGCGAAAACCTTTTTTAGTGAAATAGACATTTGCCTTCACGCTATTCATCTACAATTACAACTTTTCTGTCATCGATAAATTAAAAGCCAAAACTCATATGATGAAACGCTCTCCACCAGAACTTCAACTATGGTGAAAAATTTTAAAAAAGGCGAAAGCTATTTAGTTTAAAATGAACCCGACGTTCAACTTTATGACCCACAATTAACTGATTTCTTCATTTCATACAAACGATTGTTGAAAATTAGCCCTTAGACTATAAGTCATTATGCAGAAATTAAACGAAAATACCAGCTGATAGCTCTTAATCTTAACTAACCGTTGCGGTGGCCTAGTGGTTAGAGCGTCTGCCTTGGATGCGGGAGATCGTGGGTTCGATCCCCGGTCGAGTCATACCAAAGACTTACAAAAATGGTACTAACAGCCGCTTCAGCATTAAGAGGATAGTGTTAGGACTGGTCGGTCTGGTGTCAGGATAATGTGACTGGGTGGGGCATCATGATACATGTCTGTGGCATGATGCCCTGATGCCCCAGTGCTAGACATCACTATAAACTGCCACACCGCAGACAGTGTAGCGATATGAATGAAAAATTGTTAAAGCTACGTTAAAAATCATAATCACATCTTAATATGTTTTGCTGTTTATCTTTTAAGCGATCGGGTTCTTCCGCTGAAAAAACGATACCAACACATCAAGAATTAATTGCAATAGATCTAAAAATGCGTTATGTATCAAGAAAATGCACACACTCTTTTATATTTTTGACAAAAGACCTTGACCTTAAATCTACGGGCACCCACACAACTAGCCTTTTAGAGAAACAAACGTTACATTTAAATATTATCATATGGTATTGTGAAAAAAATGAAAATATAGCACATGTTAGCTGCTCGACCTTTATATTATTGCTATTTATCTCAAATAGTCATGCTTCTCTCTTAAGATGGAACTCTGACGAATAGCAGAATTAAATTTTGTTGAATTATGTTCAATATCATGCAATTCATTCCTTTCCTACAACATAACACATTCCTATTGTTGATTATATTCATCCTTTAAAAAACAAACAAAAAAGGACAATGTCCACTATGTTCAGACATGCAAATTTAGATACTAATATTTGCCTAAGATGTTGAGCATTTCAACCCGAATGTAATAAAGAATTTGTCGTTGTCAAGAACCCAGTGTGGCTGCGTGTATTGAGAGTAGCAATCTAAGGTTACTCAGACATGGTTTTGTGCAAAAATTCTTTATAAAACATATTGCACATTCTCACTTAAAATGAACCAAACAACTACTTGGATTTATTTATCTATATAATGACTTCAAAAGTTATATCCAGAAAATATGTGGCATTAATAGAATTAACGGCATACACTTAAACAAAATTATCAACAGCTGCCTGACAGGAAAGTAAGTAAATCAAAACTCTTGCGAAAATGATACGAAATAAATAACAAAAGAAATTGCCTTAACATCTTTACATGCTATTGAGTCATTATGGCCGCCGAGGCAGAAAAAGTTGGTCCAAAGTGAATTTCAATATTGTTTCTCGAGAATTCCCATCTTATATGTTGAATCAAATTGTTGGTGCAGAAAATTGCTTTCCATTTGCAAAATACTTATTTGTATATATTGAATTACACATTACTATTGCCTAATTTGAGTTTCAATTTTTACCTGTTGAATTACATAGCGATGGTTAAAATTGAAATGCTGAGCGCCGAGAATCTCAAATGAAAATGTTGAATCTAATCGTGTGTAACTCCAACTTAGTACGTCAAGTTTTATACTTTATCTGTTGGATCACTTGCACAGTGGTGGTCGAAAATTCAATTTCCTGTCAAGAAATCCTTATGTGCATGTATACCATTGTTTTATTTATTTTTCTTCCTTTACTCCTGCACCTGTATAATTATATCCAATGTTAATTACGTTGCATGAATTTTCTAAGGCTGTTTTGATTGCCTCTTTTAGGTGTCGGCAATGTAATTTACGTAACGTATCACATTCTTCTAGATTAATTACAAAATGAACTAGCGCGTGTCACCCAGAAGAGAGTAAAACTATTAAAATTGAGATTTTTGGTTGCCCTTGGCGTGTCACACAAAACCTCTTGACGTGCTTTAAGTTGCTGACCCTGGTCTTTCTGACCCATGATCAGGCAAAATGACCGGTACCTTCAACACCACTGCCTAAACGTTGTCTCATATTACTTATATGAAGTTTATACTGTTTTAATTATTCAGAGATACAGCCATTACAATGAGTAGCTACTTGAATTTCAGAAAATAAATTGACTTCCATTTAGTTTTTCGTTTAGGTCTGTTCCTACTGTATTATCAGTTCTGCAGTAATGCATGTATATATATATATATATATATATATATATATATATATATATATATATATATATATATATATATATATATATCCATATCGGCGAAATATCAGAAATATTGACTAAAGTAGGTCACTGTCTCCTTTCGTTTCCCTTTGGTGTTTCTCTCATTGTTTTACTACTTTCGAGCCAATGTTAGTAGGAAGGGTATCATTGAAGTCTTTTTTTACGATGCAGCGGCATTTTTGTTGTTCACTGCTTATTAATTTTAAATTTCCATTTATTTCATAAACCTCTTTTTAGTTTTTCATTTTACTAGGCATGAGTTATTATGAATTTAAGAAAATTTATTCTATAACACGATAGATCCCCCCTCGTACTGTCAGCCAAGGTCGCAGAAAATTTGGGTTAAGGTTTTGATTAGTTTCTTAATTTGCTAATATTTCGTAAACTGTTTGATGGCATTCTCATCCTACATGAAATTCAGTATTATGAAGCTATAGCAATTAATTGTGAAGCAAGCATGTTTTTATTTTTTATAAAAATCTGAATTTTTAATTTTAGTTTTAATATCCAGGTTATGGCCATCTTGTGCTTAGTTCAGTTTCTCGAGGATTATATGTATCGTAATCATCTTGACTGATGTTGATGCTATGTATATATCGTAATCATTCTAGCTGATTATCATATTATATGTATCGTAATCATCCTGACTGATGTTCATACTATATGTATCGTAATCATCCTGACTGATGTTCATACCATATGTATCGTAATCATCCTGACTAATGTTCATACTATATGTATCGTAATCATCCTGACTGATGTTTATACTATAAGTATCGTAATTATCCTGACTGATGTTCATGCTATATGTATCGTAATCATCCTGACTGATGTTCATACTATGTATCGTAATCATCCTTACTGATGTTCATACTATATGTATCGTAATCATCTTGACTGATGTACATATATGTTTTCTAATCATCCTGACTGATGTTCATACTATATGTATCGTAATCATCCTGACTGATGTTCATACTATATGTATCGTAATCATCCTGACTGATGTTCATACTATATGTATCGTAATCATCCTGACTGATGTTCATATTATATGTTTTCCAATCATCCTGACTGATGTTGATACGTATTTGTGAGTGAAACGACCAATTACATAATATAACCTTTTTATGACAGACTCTAGCAAAATTGTAACAATTACAATAGTGTACTACAGTTCTGCACAACAAATCTGCACAAGTGTGTGCCATAAGCAGTACAACTCTACTTCATTCGAGAGACGTTTAAATTGTGGTATGCTTCCAAACCTAGACGTTTGTTTTTGGTTGTTTGTTGTTTTGCTATTGTTGTTTGTTGGTGATGAGATGGTGGTGGGGTCGTTTACCTTGTGCCAAACCAATCCCTTTTTCTGTTGGAAAATACCCTTTTCGTTTTTCATGAACATAACCAGATGTTAAAGTGCTCGATCAACGTTTTTAATGATTGTAAAAATGCAATACACATGTTATCAACGCTTAGGTTAGTCATTGTTATGAAGATCACATGTTTTCAAAGATTAGTATTACTTATTGTTTAGAAGATCATATATTTTCAAGGATTAGAATATACATTAATTAGCAGATCACATAATTTCTAAGCTTACGATATAAATCGAGTGGCAGATCAGCTCTGCAAAAAGCTTACGCTATGTACCGTGTAGCAAATCAATTCTGCTTTAAGGTTTTAGGTTAAGTGTTGTGTAACAGATGACGTTTTCAAAGCTCGGGTATATCTGATCATCCGTGCTCACAAATTTGGCTATACATTGCTCAGCAGATCACGGTTGATTAACATCACGCGACTTTGCATAAATGAAGTTTTTGGTTTCCGTAACTGACGCAGAACAAAATGTTAAGATGATGACGATCATCTCATTTTTAGGGATGAGAAGGTTTTTCCTAAGGATGGGCTAAAGTAGTTTTCATTCAATGTATTTTTTTAATGAGTTGAAGTATAAATTTCAAATGTAAATGAACCTCGATCAGCATGAAAGAGCAATATACATCCAGGTTAATGAACTTCAGTTATAATTTAATAGAGTGATAAATATTGTCATGATATTTTGACCGGATCAGGGTTGGTTTAAAAGTCTTTATTTGACAAGTTTTGTTTAAAAAGGTTTTATAAGTGACCGTGACAGATTGGGAGAGAGATAGAAACGGTGGCATAATGAACTGTGATGCACACGAAATGATATAGGATCGCCACGGAACAATTTCAGAAAAAGAGAGATGGGTATCAGAACTTAAAGAGATATGGATGGAAGAAAGAAGGTGTTAAGCATCAAAGTCCTAAACTTTGGAGGGTTAGAAATGCGTGTGTGTATGTATGTGTGTGCGTGTGTGTTTATGTATGTGTGCGTGTGTGAGTGTGTGTGAGAGAGACGAAAGGGTGCATACTCTTACATTAACAATGCCATCAGCAAAACATGTTATAATGCTTATACACTATTAATACGCACCTTAGAATTTTATTTTCATTATATGTGTATGAACGTTTGATTTTGCATGTTATCATGTTTAGATAGATACATACATATGATAAAGAAAAAATTGCGATATTAAGGTAAAACGCAGCTGCTTATCTAGATTGGGATGTGTTCGGATAGGGGTTGGGGTAAGGTGAAATACCGGTTGAAATAGTACATTTTTAAATTATAAAAATACAACGTAAAACTAGCCATTCCTTTCTCAATAACAAATTCTTTAAAACATAGAACCCAAATAAACTTAATTTCCCCCTAAAATGGGTATGTACAGATAAGTCTAACAAAGGGCTGACCAATGCTGTCGCAGACTATTTTTCCGTCATTGAGGTAAAGAAGCTTCGCCGTGAGCTTTTTGATGTATTAATGCTTAGTGTATTTTATACTCACCTAAAATAATTGCTTGACATCCCTGATCCATTCCTTTTTCTCGTCGTGTTGTATTCATATGTGTATTCAAGTTGTCGTATAACATATGAACTTAAGTAGACATGTTA